AATACAACCTGTCAAAGATAAGTCAGAACAAACAGAAAAGAAACAGAAAATCAGCAGATTCACAATAATGTACAGAAATCTGAATTCAAATTAGGTGAAGACTTCCTCAGTTACTCACAGCGCTGGCATTTCCTCCAACTTGCATACATCTAAGCTGGAACCATGACCAGTTAAAATCCAGCTCAGTAGACCTATGCAACAGAACAGTATTTAATTAAATTCAATTCAGTTTATTTATATAGCATCAATTCACAACACATGCCATTCCAGGCAACTTACAGTTCACCAGTCAAATTGATTCAAAGTTTTCTATCTAAGGAAAACCAGTTGATTGCATCGAATCATTGACTCAAATACAATCCCTCACACAAAGCATGCTTGTAGCGACAGTGGGGAGGAAAAACTCCCTTTTAACAGGAAGAAACCTCCTGCAGAACCAGGCTCAGTGAGAGCGGCCATCTGCTGAGGCCGACTGGCGTTCAAGGAGACAGAAGCAAAAACAAAGATGTGTTCACAGTTGCTCAGGATCCAATCTGACAGAATCTAACATACAGTTCCTTCTCAAAATATTAGCATATTGTAATAGAATTCAGTAGTCTAACCCATGATTGGGGTTTTGAGTGATGAACCAGGCTGGAAGTTTTAAAGGCCTCAGGAATCTTTTCCAAATGTTTAAATAATTAATTAACAATTTATTTGTTGATTTAGATTACTTTTTTAATGATATGCTAATTTTGTGAGATAGGAATTTGGGGTTTTCATGAGCTGTATGTCAAAAATCATTGATATTAAGACAATAAAAGACCTGAAATATTTTAGTTAGTGTGCAATGAATCTAAAATATATGAATGCTCAAGTTTTATCATTACATTATGGAAAATAATGAAGTTTATCACAATATGCTAATATTTTGAGAAGGAGCTGTATTTAATATAAAACAAAGATGTGTTCGGAGTTGCTCAGGATCCAATCTGACAGAGTTTAACATATTCTGCAAAGTGGAACATCTCTTACCTAATAAAGGACAGGTGTACTCCCAAAGACCTGTGAGTCCCAGAGCAGTCGATGCAGAGGAACACCCCATAGGTGATGCTGGCCCAGCTGGGGTTCTTAGCTGCACAGTCGAAGCAAACCTGAGGACCAACGTGCAAAAAACAAAAAAACCCCAAACACACTGAAATTAGTCATAATCTGGATTCATGTTCTCAATCAATAAGCCAACAGCTGTGAGGGTCTGAAGTACATGTGTTGAATCATACAACTGCTTCCTCATCAATTAAACAAGGCGTTTAATTCGCAATAAACGTCTTAATAAGCCTAAACCAACTAAAATTGTATTAACTGTCGGTTTTAGCTAGTGCTACATATGGTTAGAGAAATTAACTTTAAAAACTATTATATCGGTCTTATATGTATCAACAACATAAATGTTTTAACATTTTTTCCCATCAGCTAGGATTATTTAAGAAAATAAATAAAATAAAAAAAACGCGGAGATGGCTGATTTTAGCTTGTTAAAAGGAGCCGAGACCATTTTTTTCCACAAAGTGCGACGTGTCAGATATCTGCTTCTGCCGACTTCCTTGTTAAAGACACCCAAACGTCTGCCGTCCATAAAAACTTACCTTATTCGTCGGAATGGAGCGCAGTCTCTTGAAAATAGCAGAAATATCCTGCCTACTGGGTTCCGCCATGGTTTCAGCTGTCTGTTAGAAGAACCTGCCTGTAGGTTGAACAAATGGCATGTACAGAAGCTTCGTGTTTTTCTCAATAACAATCCACTGAGACACGTCAGTTGGAGAGCATCGGGAGTCGACTGTGATTGGCTGAACGCGGCCCGTGGTTGTGTTGTTGTACCAATGTCTTCTGGGTAATGTAGTTTACAGTGCAAGTTGGAACTAGAGCAGTTTTGGGTTGTTTTTTTAACAGTGGCGGGAAATTATTTTTTTTGCATATATACGTATATTTTTATAATGGATGAGAACTCATGTTAACTTTGCTCTCCTGTATAAGGAGATATAACTTATTTTTATTCATAATTTAAGTAAATTACCAGAAAAGCAACAGAGGCGTAGCCAGAACATATTTATAAGGGTGTCCAGGCAATATCCAATGTACACTGTAGGGGGGCTGAAGACATTTTATCAGTGTCTCTCTTTTATCTACTCTTTCATCTTTTTTTCTTTTTCTTTCCTGTTCTACTTACATTGCAGTGTCCATATAATCTGTAATACTCCCTGCATGATTTATAATAAAGATATTTATATGCATCAATCAAGCGGAACACTATGGCAAAAGCCATACTGCTCCACTTGTGAAAGCAAAATCTGTTGGGCTCTCTTTTTGGCATCAAGACAATTATTCTTATTGCCAGACAGGACACTGGAAAAAAACAAAACAAAAACAAACCTCAGGGTCAATCTACACTGTTCCAACAGGAAAATTAACAAGCATAACATCCACATTTTCAAAATAAAGACAAACTATACTTTCCTACAGCATTTGCTTACAAATAAGCACATATATTCAAACATGCATGCTTTCTGGATAAAAGGTATAGTTCATAAAATTCTTTCAGGTTAAATTTCCGAGGTTAATATCTTTTTCATTGTCATTACTTACCTACTTTTATCAATAATCATTCTGCAAAAAAAATATTATTCAATAAGTTTTTAATAAAATACAGGTGCTGGTCATAAAATTAGAATATCATGAAAAAGTAGATTGATTTCAGTAATTCCATTTAAAAAGTGAAACTTGTATATTATATTCATACATTACATACAAACTCATATATTTCAGATGTTTATTTTGTTTAATTTTGATGATTACAAATGACAACAAATGAAAATCTCAAATTCATCATATCAGAAAATTAGAATATTGTGAAAAGGTTCAAAATTGATGGCCCCTGGTGCCACACTCTAATCAGCTAATTAACTCAAACCACCTGCAAAAGCCTTTAAATGGTCTTTCAGTCTAGTTCTATAGGCTACACAATCATGGGGAAGACTGCTGACTTGACAGTTGTCCAAAAGACGACCATCGACACCTTGCACAAGGAGGGCAAGACACAAAAGGTCATCGCTAAAGAGGCTGGCTGTTCACAGAGCTCAGTGTCCAAGCACATTAATAGAGAGGCGAAGGGAAGGAAAAGATGTGGTCGAAAAAAGTGTACAAGCAAGAGAGATAACCGCACCCTGGAGAGGATTGTGAAACAAAACCCCTTCAAAAATGTGGGGGAGATTCACAAAGAGTGGACTGCAGCTGGAGTGAGTGCTTCAAGAACCACCACACACAGACGTATGAAAGACATGGGTTTCTGCTGTCGCATTCCTTGTGTCAAGCCACTCTTGAACCACAGACAGCGTCAGAAGCGTCTAAAGAGAAACAGGACTGGACTGCTGGTGAGTGGTCCAAAGTCATGTTCTCTGATGAAAGTAAATTTTGCATTTCCTTTGGAAATCAAGGTCCCAGAGTCTGGAGGAAAAGAAGAGAGGCACTTCATCCACGTTGCTTGAAGTCCAGTGTAAAGTTTCCACAGTCAGTGATGGTTTGGGGTGCCATGTCATCTGCTGGTGTTGGTCCATTGTGTTTTCTGAGGTCCAGGGTCAACGCAGCCACATACCAGGAAGTTTTAGAGCACTTCATGCTTCCTGCAGCTGACCAACTTTTTGGAGATGCAGATTTCATTTTCCAACAGGACTTGGCACCTGCACACAGTGCCAAAGCTACCAGTACCTGGTTGAAGGACCATGGTATCCCTGTTCTTAATTGGCCAGCAAACTCTCCTGACCTTAACCCCATAGATTTTCTATGGGGTATTGTGAAGAAGAAGATGCAATACACCAGACCCAACAATTCAGAAGAGCTAAAAGCCACTATTAGAGCAACCTGGGCTATCATAACACCTGAGCAGTGCCACAGACTGATCGACTCCATGCCACGCCGCATTGCTGCAGTAATACAGGCCAAAGGAGGCCCAACTAAATACTGAGTGCTGTACATGCTCATACTTTTCAGTTGGCCAACATTTCTATAAATCCTTTGTTTTTATTGGTCTTCAGTAATATTCTAATTTTCTGATATGATGAATTTGAGATTTTCATTTGTTGTCATTTGTAATCATCAAAATTAAACAAAATAAACATCTGAAATATATGAGTTTGTATGTAATGTATGAATATAATATACAAGTTTCACTTTTTAAATGGAATTACTGAAATCAATCTACTTTTTCATGATATTCTAATTTTATGACCAGCACCTGTAGTCATTTATCTTTGATTTCACTAAAGACTCCTACTGACGTGTAAAAATATTTTATTTTTATAATTTTACCCCATATATAACACAAAATGTAGTTCTAAAAAGAGCATGAATTCTGTATTTATCTTTAATGTTAGTATACTCATGTGCAACACTTAACCACCAAAATGGTAGGGGTGGCCAATGATTGGCTAAGGGTGGCCATGGCCACCCCTGGCCCCCATCCAGCTCCGCCCCTGAAAAGCAATACTGTCTCCATATAAACTACTGATCTGATGGGATATTCCTAGCTGTCTTTTCTACGTAATAAACATAAAATATTCTTGTTATAAGTTTTTAAGATATAAAGCCATCTCATGAGATTATATTAGATATTTTTAACAGTATGTTATAGCATTCGTTTACAAATTATTACAACTACATCAGTGAGCAACATCATAATAGTGAGACCATCAATACTCTGATTTGGCAGAAATTGGCTTAAATAACCACTCAATAAAACACCCAACAACAAATGGTATATAACTTAATTGAAAAAGCAATATATATCCCCAGTTTGTATACTTTTATTACGGTATACTACCAGGATTAGAAAATTCTTAAAACTACTTCTAATACAGAATGTTATTAAATCCGGAGCATTTTGGTTAGTTTTTGTCAGATGAGGAGCAGGAGTCCATTATCAGTTAAAAAGAGAATGTAAACACCCTTATAAATTAAAGAAAAAAATCTTTTGCGTAATAAATCTGTTTATTATGTTGTGATACAACATTTACAAACATTGAATGTGCAAGTACAGCTGTTACTGCTGGCATACAGCAGCTCAACCTGAAAAAAAAAAATCTAATTCAATGTCAGGTATACAGAAGTTATGAGCCTTTTCTGGAGACAAAAGAAAATGATCAATGAGAATTAGGATTGTTAAAAATATATATATTCATTTATATCGAAGGTTTAAGTGGATTACTTAGCCTTTACTCTTGTTATAAGAGAGTGCTTTAGGTGAAGGCAAAGGAAACCTATTTACAGATTTAACAAATAAAACGGCTTCAGAAAAATACTCAAAAGAATAATTTCAATGTACAAAACCATTTCAAATACAGAATAAGAAACAGAACAAGCACTTGTGGCCTTATAAATTATTCTTTATCTATTGGATTACGCTTAATCCCAGCATTTATGCAACAATTGGCTTGCTTCTATTGCTAAAACAAGCACTAAAATATTTTCCCATCACAGAGCAATTGGCCTGAAGGAGAACTAAAACCTGCAGATTCAAGTCAGAAATACATTCAGTGTTGCATGGATGATAAAAGATTAAAAAAATAAAAATGCAGTCTATGTTGTTGGGATAACCATTTACAGAAAAGAGAAGGTCAGTGGTTGAAAATATCTTGCATCTGAAAAACTGAGTTAATACATGAAAAAACACAAAAAACAAAATCACTGAATATACATTCATCTGCACTAGCCTGACATCTTAAAAAAGGAATCGAGATGTTGAGAAGATGAGACTCAATCACTCAAAAATTGTTCTTACAATATGCAAAATAACAAAATGTAAGAGCAAATTTAAAACAAATTACACATAAGGGATCTGGGTTATGAAAAGAAATGTATTCCATATTCATATGCTGGATTCTATTAGCATATCAACTAAAAAGTCTCCCTTAAAGAATTTAAAAAGGGCTTAAATAATAAGGCTGCATTTAACGTCACAAGGCAGGTCGTCATCCCAGTGTTTTCTTTTAACAATATATATATAGATATTTACACATTTATTAACATACACATTTCATTGAATTTCCTAATACACATTTGAATAGCTTTTCTGTAACAGCATTGATGTGATTTTATGTAACATTAGACACAGCAGCTGTTCCCCAGTTGGTAACGCATGGTCAGCTTCCTGTTTTTGTAATTTTGCTAACACCAAAGCCAACCTGTAGGAAGTAACAGTGGTCCTTGTATAAGCTGTAGAAAACTAATTCATTTAATTACTATGGAGGAAAATCAAGCTGATTTTGACTAAACTTTTTCGTCTTTCTTCACATTTGTGGCATCAGGGAAAACTCTTTACTGGATGTCTTCGACATAATTAGCAGGATAGAGACCTATTTGTCCATTCTGGAGTCGGCCTTTGCACCAGCCTTGATCATCCTCTTCTCCGATTTTTGTAAATTCATCACCTGTAAAAGTGAAAAAAAAAGAACATGGATTTGTTTATTTCAAGGACAGAGGCATATGTTTCCATTTGCCTTTCACTTTCCTTATTTTACCTTTTTCCTGTATTTTCGTCCTACATTTTTAATCGGAAGTTGATGTGTTATTATTTAGGTTGCAAACCTGCTTTGAAGCTGAGCTCGTCCTGCTCTTGTCCTTCATAATCGTAGAGGGCTTTAACGGGAACAGAAATGACTGGAGACTCGGGTTCTTCCTCAAACGGATTGCCATCACCGTTGGCGGAGAAAGGGTTCCCAACCGTGTCCTCGTCTGACCAGTCTGGAGTCTTCTCTGAGCTGTTGGCACTGAACAAATAGGCAGAAAAGCTTCCTTAGCTAAATAAACCAGTGCAATTGAGGGGGAAGGTTCAGCATGCCAGGTTTAAAGGTTCCAATGATTAGAAGTGAGACAAATACACCAGCAAGAACAAACCACATAAAAGTTCAAAGTGCATTTTAAAAGCCACAAATGAGTGAATAATATGAAGAAAACACTTTGCCTCAGTCAAATCCAGTACATCATTTGCTTATCTGTGTATTGAGTCAAGATGAAAGGAAATGATTTTGTCCCTGCCTTTAAGAGATGAAGAGCTTAAAGGAAAAGGTGTTGGCAATGCTGTTTGAGGTAAGCCAAAAGAAAAAAATAAAACATATCAGCAGGTTAATGAGAAAAAAAACGAAGACCAAGCAGTAAAAATCATTGCAAATGCTTGATTGGAGCTTTAACTTTGACAGCCAGCAGATGGAGCCACCTAAACAGACAGAACTTGGTTGTGACAACTGGGAAACTATAAATGCACAACAGGGGATTTACAGTCAGACCCAAAGCAGCTTTTAAATGTTTTATTTGATTCTTTACAAATTGGGAATGAACCACAAAGAGTAATCAGTCTCTAAAGATGTAATCGGATCTGACTGTAAGAAACAGACATTTCCCACAACAAAGACATGCGCCTCCATGCGCATCACAAGGTTTAAACTCTGTAAAACATGAAACGGTCACGTGTGAAAGACAGACACACACTGACTTTGTGTGCAGTGCCATTCAGAGACCATGCAGAGCAACACAAGAACCTGAGACCTGAGGAGAAAAAGGATGGATACCAAAAGAAAAGTAACCAAAGAGATGGGGAACAAATATAATCTAAGGAGTCAAAGATGGAAACGGTAGAGGAGAAAGAGGCTGCGGGTTGGCGGAGGGTCGTCTGCTTCACCAACGTTTTTATTTCCTCTTTATTCACAGTGACGTGGTTGACTGTGGTCTGCTCCTCCTCAGCCATCTCTTCCTCCTGCTCCTCATCTTCTTCAAACGGATTTGTACCCACTGGTTCTGTTTTTGTGGGCACTGTCAGGCTGATAACATGGAGCAAAGTGAGAGATGGGTTGTTAAATTTCAAACACATTTGAGACGTACTTACCCCTTTGGACAGAGACAAAGCCAAGTGAAGTTAAAAACACTCCAAACATTGAGATGGATAGAACAGAATAAAATTAATGAGCTGCCATTCAGGTGTAGATCACTGCCTTGTCACTGGCATGAAGGTCAACCGATACCTTAAGTTTTAATTCGAATCTTTTCTCTTTTTTTATTTTTCAATAACTGGATGCCGACCTTTTGGGTTACTTCTGGGTTTTTTTGGAGGCATGGATGAAATTCTGGCATATTTCTGGCTGGATCTTTAACTACTCTTCATCACAATGGGTAGTTTTTAATTGGTTTAACCAAAACAAAAAAGGAAAAGGTTGACTGTTAATTATGACTGTTATTTATTCCTAAAGTGTTCTGGATATGTGCTTGGGAAAACTTTCACATCCAGTTTTGACCACATTTCAACTGAATGAACAAATGTTACCCTTGCAGTTACCCTACTTGGAAGGAAATGTGATGTTCAGGAACAAACTCTGAACAGTCAATATGCAAGCCTAATATGAACTGAAAGAGCAGTCTCACTCAACAAAGTGAAGCCAGTTTAACAATTCAGTCTGAGGTACAGACCAGGAGAGAAGGCTCTGCTGTGCAACTGAAAGCTTTGGGCTCAACAGTAATCTGCAGCCACTGATATTTACAAACTTCTAGCAGGAGGAAAGTGAAAAGAAATATATTTGGAAGAGTCCAGAGGGGGAGTTTTAAATCTAAGAACACAGCTAACTGTCAGGCATGGTGGTGGCAACATTATGCTTTGAGGCCATTATTGTTGCCAATGCTATAGGGGCATTGCACAGAGTGGATAAAATAGAGCCTAGAGGTTAGAAATATGGGCGCCATCTAGTGTCCCATCAGCAAAACACAGGTTGCACAAAGTTTTGGATCCTAAAGCAAGTTAACTAATGGGCCGGGAATCTAAAGTCTGCCAAAATTTCCCAAAATATGCCCAAAACCATGTCTATGCCAGGAAACAAACTAATTTTATTTACTAATAAATATCTCAAAAGATTCTTGATAGTTACAAAAAGCTTGTAGTTGACACCAGCTTACTAAAGGACATCTAACCAGCCTGTTTGTATATTTTCGAGCATCTGATTTTTTTTTTTCTTTTTAAAGCTGTATATTTCCCCACCAGTAAAAACTGAATACATATAGTTTAAAAGATTAACAGAAAGGGCAAAATGAATTCAATTCATACCAATGACAGGAGTGTAACCATCTGATCTGTAGAAAGATGCAAATCCACCTTCTAAAAGAAACGCATGCAAGCAGTGCGTGAATTCAAATGCTTTACCTCATGCACACAAGGCATTCAACCAGTCCAGGAAGCATCTTAGAGATGCTTAGAAATGCATTCTATTGGCTTTCTCTGTTAAAATGTTTTAACTGAATGTCGATTTGTTTCTGACTGGAGTTTGTAACTGTTCAGCTTTCCTGACTATACTACAGTGGTGGTTCAGTATTTTAAGTTAACTTAGATTTATTTTGGTGAGCTTCAATCTGATGCCATCTTTGAACCAATCAGCAAAGTGTATTTTTGTAATGCCTGTTCAGAGAAAACTGGGGCAAAAAAATATGATTAGGTTAGTATATAAGACAATGTTTCATCTCCATATTATCTTAAAATGTAATGTTTGAACCCCTAAAAAGGCTCATAGTTAGCTCAGTTGGTCTTTATAATAAAAACCCAGTTTTATATCAAATATTAGATTATTTGACATCTCTAACAGAACTGTGGCTTACTCATAATTATATTTATTTGTAGCATTTAAGTTTAACACTATTAGTATATTGCTTTAATTCTAGTAAAACAAGCTAGGTTTAATTTGTATTTAATATCAAGCACAAAAGATCCAGCAAGGATACATTAGCTGAGCATCCTTTAACAAACTCACAACACCTGAATAGGGCGAATTTTACCACTTTAAGTTTCCGCATCAAAGCACAAAACTTACAAATGTCGCCAACTTTTATCAGAGGAAACAAAAGGTTTCCATTTGCTGTTGACAAAGTTAGTGGACCGTCAAACACTGGCAGCAACAAGTTTGCTCTGGAGGGAAAAGAAAAGTAACCGCCTTTGTTTACATAGTCACGCCACGCTCATCAAGTCGAGCTGGTGGCGTTATTACAGAAAACACTGCTTTAGTGGGAGATTGGTGAGATGTAACAGAAGGAATTGCAGTCCAATTATAATATCTTTGATTTATGAATACAAGATCTGAGAGGAGAGTTACAGCCTTGTTTATGTGGTGTTTTTATTTTTATTTTTTTATTATATAATTTGTCTATATTTGAAACTAAGCTGAAACTTCAGGTGAAATTCTTTTACATGTATATGTGTGGAGACAGTCCTCATGCATACATGTGATGAAAAACACTAACAATGGTGGGAGGAGGGCCAGGCAAATCAGCGGATGAAAGATCAGAGGTCAAATGTTTTAAATGACTGGAATTCCCTTTGTTGACTCCTCTATACACTCCTGCAGAATTCTGGTGATTTAAGATCTCCACTACATCCTGCACGTGTATGTTAAAGCACAGATAACATAACCCAGCAGCAAACATTAACGTTTTGGCAGAGGCTTTCTGCATAACGATAGAATCTGGTGATTCATCATCAGTAGCTTCACCGTGGCTACAATTTTATCTTTACATGTATAGAGCCATGGCCTTTGCGTTCTTACCAACATTCCCCCAGAATAATTGCTTTCCAAGAATGAAAACAGTCCCATGTAACTGGGTCAGATGGACTGGATTATTGGAAACTGCTAGTCAAAAAAACTTAAGTGTGTTTAAATCCTAATTCCAAACAATTCTTATCATACATTTAAAATATACATTTGTCACTACAATATATTTTCTAGCATAAATTAGGATTCATATATTATTGACATAATATAATATATAAATGACAAGAATTAAATAGTTTTTTTTTTTACCAATCTCAAATTTCAGGTTCTCTCGCTTTTACCTAATCTTGTTAAAAGGTATAAAGAAAGAAGCTCATAATGTATATATAGTATATATTTTAAAACTGGTCAGACTTGATATAGGGAATCATAAATAGCCTGACAGATCATTGGAAGGCCTGTCAAAAATGTAGATGATGAATAGACCGATGAAAGAAATGTGAAGTAGTCAGCAATAGTTGAATGGATGGGTGGACAACAAAAAGACAAATGGAGAAAAAAAAGTTTGACAAAGGAAAAGGAAAGTCTAGAATCACATATTTTCCCTTGATCTATTTTTTTCATAAGGACGTTTCCAAACCTTTCAAACACTGTATTTTCAAGGCTATAAGCCCCTACTTCCCCCCCCCCACACTTTGAACCATACAGCTTATAAGAAGGTGTAGCTTTTCTGTGGATTTTCCTAACCGCCAGAGGGGGAAGTCAAATTGGAAATGAAAGAATAAGGGATTAATTTTCATTTAGCGCAATATGCTAGCAGAAGACATGATGTAAGAACAAATGTCCCATATTTTCAAATTTTTAATATTTATTTGCCACATTAATGCTGCCAAACCAATGAAGAGACTGGGCCCAACCCCTGCGGGCTAACAACCTGATGGGCGCTAGCATTCTTCTTGAACTCTACACTAGGGACTATATGTTGAGCTTCCCCTAGAGATTTAGTGGGAGAGAGTTCAGTAGATATAAGCAGATTATAGCCCAGTGCGGCTTATATATGTATGTTTCCAGTTTAAAAAAAACTTTGTGGGTGCAGCTTATAGTGAGGTGCGCCCTATAGTCCAGAAAATATGGTAATTTGATTCCAGGTTTTTACTAGACTGAGCATTTAGTTCAACACTCCACCGAAAACATCAAAACGTTTAACTTTCCTGTACTTGTATTGTCTCTGTGTGAGCGAGGAGTATTTCCACATTAGTTTTGGCAAAGTGGCAAAAAAAAACTCTTACTAAACACAAACCAAATTTTTTCTGTTGCAATTGGAACCCCATTTAATAAAATCTCATACTGGTGCTGCTCATATCTTGGAGATAATAGGTGTTTTTTTTAGAGGAGGATATGATGTAAAGTGCGCAGAAGAAATTGCCTGATGCATACCTGCTGGTGGACTTTGCAGATTGAACAGGCTGGTCCGATCCTGTCTGACTGATGGCTGTCAGTGTAACACCCTCTGACGGTTTCTTCTTCTCTCGTCTGCTCAGGGTTCGGTTCAGGTCCACGGACCAGTCCTGGTGGACACAACCATACAAACATTACAGCCAAACACTGAACCTGATCTTTATCCATGGTTGGTGCATGCATGTGTGTGCAAAAGGGAGATAAAATCAAATATTTGCTCAAAAGCAGTTTCCATCCCCCGCTGAAAGAAGGAATACAGAGATAATTGCCCAAAACCAAAGGCTTAGCGAGAAATGTGAAGCAGTGGAGCAGAGGATCGAAAAATATAAGAACTTAATCAATAGAAAAACAGCTTGTTTTGTTCCTGTGTACATCCGATAAATACAGAACAGACCCTTTGGTCTGCAGTAAAATAAGCACCACAGTTATGGCATAGCAGACAATCAGATTCGATATTCCCTCCATTCATTACCAGCATGTACTACTAAAATACCTTGACTAACTAAGCATCATTTTATTTTTGCTTATTTTTTAATGTTCTGATACGACTTAAAATTTTTGAATAGGTATCTGGTTTGTTAGTCTCATATGATTATCCTCACTGCACAAATTGGCATGTAAACCTTAACCTTTTAAAAATTAATTACAATATTGGGCCCATGCTTGAGGAACTTTTGTTTCCATCTATATTTGTATAACCACTTAATACAGAATGAAATACAGATGAAACACACACAATGTAAAGAAGTGTAAGATTTTAAGTGGGAATATAGAGAACCCCCAGGGACACTGCGAGAGAATAGCTTTCTCATGCAGAACTCACAACAATGGACCATCTCTTAGAGCGAGGTTGTGACCAGTCCAAATTCTGTCAAACATGAAGAGGGGAGGCAGATGTTGTTAGGACTAATGGGGACGTCAGTCTAAATCTGTAGGTTTAAATAAACCTATCAAACATTTGCAGGTTTGATGAACACAAACATGCAGTTTTTCTCTTTCATGCCTTCTAAAAAGTCGAGCAAACAAATAAAAGTGAAGAAAAGGCACCTCACATCAAGAGTTAAGCCTAAAAAGCCCTCAGCAACATATGAACCAATGCATGCACAAGCAGGTTCTTTGGCTTTCCCACGGGGAAACGGCACCATCCTGAAACCCCTGCAGCTAAAAGCATCCCTGGGTGATCAAACGATAACAAAAGGCTACAGATTCATGCAAAGGATAGATGCACACAACAAACCAATGCACTTCAATGTTTTTTGTTTCCCATTTAGGAAATCCTTTTTTTTTTTTTTTTACAAGTTGGTATAAAATTAGCATATATAAAAATACAGCCTATGTTTGTAACTCTTTGATCTCTGTGATCCTCTGGGCAGATGCTACCGATTACTCTTTGTATAACCCTTTAATTGATATAAATCTGTGCTGTGGTTACATACCTCAAACTGTGGCCAGTTCATGGGCATGCCAGGACCATGATTGGATCGGAACCATTTCAGGTCATCTTCAGCATCTGTGCCAGAAATCGTATCCTCAAGCGTCTGGTAAATTGTCTGGAATCTGTGTTGACAGAAGAATAAAATAAATCAATAACAGAGTTTTTATTCACATCTAAGCCCAGTCTGTTTGATTTTTCTTAGTCTTCCGGTCTGACCTGGAGTTGGTCGAGAGGTCCAAGTGCTTCTTAACCTCCAGGAGGAGCTCCTTGAAGAAGCGAATTCGTTTTTCCTCAAACTGCTGTGACTGGTCGAACACCTGCTCCATGTTTTCCATATACTGAGGGGTCAACTTTTCCAGCTCTTCCAAGGATTTCTCATAACGTTCTTTTGTCTGCAGAGAGCGCAGTAATGAAAACTACAACCCTTATCTCATTACCGGTACTATGAAACCCCCATATGAGGGATCTTTCACAGTTAGCAGATTCTACCTTTTGAACCTCCTGCTGGCATTTCTCCACTTTTTCCTGGAGTTTCTTCTGGGTTTCTGGATTGTTGTTGCTCTCCAATTTGCTGTTGGTTTCCCTGCTGGCTGCCAGCTTCTCTTCTTTGCAGGCTGAATGATACGACTTCTTTATCGTCTCTACCTGCAGGGACCAGAATCAAAGTAAACAGGTGAGTATAGCTGCCAAATAGCTGACGGTAAAATGGAAATTATTTTGCTCCTGGCGATAATTCATATGCTAAAAAACAAACTTTCCGGACTCATTGGTCCTGAATTCTCAGAGTTTTGAATTTATTTTACTTACTTTTTTTTTTTTTTACATTTGATAGTGAGGAAGACAAAGAATAGGAAAAAGATGAACAGACAATGGAAGAATGACAAGATGGGTAAAGAGCATAAAAATGGTGAACAGATGAACAGAAGGAAACACCAACTGATGGATGAGAGAGTGGGTATAGGTCTATAAATAACAGACAATAATACAATTTAAGGATTATGGATGGAAAGAAAAGGTTAAATGGAAACAAAGATGGCTGCTGAGTTTACAACGATTTATTACGACCCAGAGAGTTTATAACCTTTATGCAGGATGTTTAAAAAGAAGCTATTTAAATGTGAAGTTTCCTCAATTAGGATATGAAGCTGCTAGTCTGACTACCACAGATAGAGGTTGTGTCCATTGTTGATGCCCTGCCTATACTACTCACCAAGTTGATTACCTTAATTTATTTTTGCATGATAGTCAATTAGCGCAACCTCTAAACCGCTTGCAGTGTGTGGCAGGATACTGCCAATTTGTTAAGTCACAGACAGAGGAAGTGAGGGGAGAGTTGCAGACTCCTCAGTGGCTTTTTAGGTTATGTTCTTACATTAATAGAAACTGAGAAATTAAAATAACTCCAGCTGCTAAAACAAAAGCAGAGCACCAGAATATACAGAGTGGCTCATTTCTCTGTAAAGCCCTCACTGTTTCCTTCCTTTGCACTGACTCAAACCCACACAGGACAGCTTTCTGGCACCATGACCTGTCTGGTGATAACTCGTACACTCAGGGGTGACGTTGCTTCTGCTGTTATTTAACAGGACTGTTGTCATGGTGAGGGGACAAAACAAAGATAAGCTGATAAAATCATGGGAACTGATTAAGTAATGTACTTTATCATTGTTTATAATTTAGAACAAGACCCGTGTAATAATTGCTGATAAGTCTCAAAGTTACAAGTTCAAACTCACACCTCTTTAAGTTTCTTGGCCCAGGGTTTCTGAGCTTTGCGGAAACCATCTTCAGTCTCCTTGGTTTCTTTGTAGCCTCCAATCATCTGTTTGTGGTACGAGTCTTTCTGCCAGTTCTTCAGCTTCTCGAAGTCTTCGCTCATTAAAGCTGCTTTGACCTCCAGGTGGAGCTCGCTGACCTTCTCTGCCTCTGTGCACAGGGAAACCCATGCTCGCTCCAGCGTACCGTACTGAGGGCCTAGAGACATTATTTAGGCTGTTAGAGTTAGCTTTGGTAGCCCACACAGCCTTGCAAAAGCATTCATCCACATTAAACTTTTTTTCTCGTGTTCGTTTTCTTACCCTTCTCTATAAGTTGTCGCCAACGCTTTCCCCATTCTGTAAGCTGCAGTGCGTACGCCTTTTCAATACGAGCGCGCTCATGAATACAGTTCATGAGGTCGTTACACAGCCGGCTGCCATCGTCCACCCGCTTTACTGTGCGTTTGTAGTTACCAACCTGAAAATAATAAATACAGCAGGATTTCTTATGGGAAATAAATCAGGACCAAAACCAAAAGGCATGAGAAGGACTCCACTTTCCCCCTGTAGTTATTTTTTTTTAAGTTTCAGAAAAGTCACAACAAATGAAAGGGCAGAATGTTTTTTCCCCCTCAGCTTGTTTTGAAATTGAGATGTTGATGCACGCAAGGACAGAAGAAGATCTCTGAATGACACAAGAGAGATTTTGTCATCAAAACAAAGATTGCAAACGCCTCACCTCCCAGAAGCTATCACTGGAGACATCAATCATGGAGTCATCGTAGGCGCCCGACATCGCTGCTGCCTAAGATTACACTCAGCACACAGGACCTAAAAAAGACAAACAACAACATGCATCAAACTAAAATAAAACAAATCATCTGAAACGTCAAAGTATCTAATGCTGTATCTAATATTTTTTTAATAAGACACATTAGCCACAACAAAGTGTTGTCCTTCTGCCCCTCCATTAATGACCTTGCAAATATAAATGTTTTTAATATTTATGTAAAAAAATAAAAAATAAATAAAAAAAATCTTACTCTTCAGTATTTACTGGCTTTGTTAATTTCCATAAACTTTATAATGCAAAAATAACAAACATCCTTTAGATCCTGAATTTGATTTAATCAAATTATTTTTCTTAAAGATAAATACGGCAACTAAGGAAGAAAATTCTAACAGCCTGTTGGAGAAAAAAATTCCTCGGAAAGTAGAGCTGCGGATCAGATAAGGAGGATAACCAAGCAGTTCAGAGAAACAATTCAGGAACAAAGAGCGTTTGAGATCAGCTTTGATAATCTGGGCAGCAGGTGGGCGTTTTTCAACCCATTTTATGACCCTTTTAACCCTTAAATACAGTGAAGTGAAACCACACAGGTTTCTGGAGACGCACCAAGGCTCTGCTCTGGCAGAGATAAACAAAAAGCGACTGTCAAGGACACACAGCAGGCTGCTTCCGTTTCCTTGAGACGAGGAAAACACTCAGCCCTCTGTTAGGCTTCTCCCCACCACGTCCATCATTTGAAGCTCAACAGCCTCCCAACTCAATACTTTCTCGTTCGTATTCACCGCTTCATTCTATCTCCCCATCCTCTTCTTTCAGTGGTCCTCCTTCCTCATCATCCTGAATCCTCTTTTCAGCTGGATTCTCCCATCACTTTAAACTATTACTATATCAAGCTTTAAAGGGGAACGCCAGTTTTTTTTACATTGGGCCCTTGATTTTTCGTTATTACATCATGTTCTACTCATCCATATTAGTTTTGTGTCATTTGGAGCTGTTCTGAAGATAGTCGGTTAGGTTATATCCAAGTAACGTCTTTCTATGGGCAACGACTTGAAGGCAAAAACTAAACTGTTCATGATTTATTATTTATGGTACACCAGCATTCATAACATGTAGGCAAATCACTGTCCCCCAGACATCCGCGGTTATTTTTTTAATATTTAGATTTTTTTTAAAACAAAGCAGAGTGTGTAAGATGTCATCCAAGTACGCTGGCTACCATTCATTCATCCTGTGCACTGCTAGTCCTGCTAGTTTTACTCACATTCCTGGAAGATCTCTAGTGCTACTATCACAGATGATCTCGCTACCGAAATGGAATTGAACGATTCAGATTAGCTAGCCGAATGAAAAGAAGGTGAACATGCCTAATGAAATTTAAAAACGTCAAAAAAAATTGCTGCCTAAAATCAGCAACAGCTGTTTATAAGTGTTCATAACCTTAAAATTCAATATATTATGAAGGTTATGAATATAAGAAAGCCTGTCTGTAACACTTTATGGATCTGAACAGATTTTGACGACACCAGTCATGAAGATAAAGGGATTATCTGTAGACCATTGAGACACAATTGTCTTGAGGCACAAAAAAAAAAAAAAAAACATTTTTGCCACTTTGAAGATAAACAATAAGCATAGTGGCCTCCATTATTAGCAATTAGAAGTATTCTGGAACCACCAGGATTCTTCCTGGCGGGTTGCTTCCTGGCGGGTTGGTAGTGCTGGCGGGTTAATCTATATGACCAGGGGAGAGAGTCTTCAAGGAGAGGATCAAGAACCCCATCATCAAAAAAGCGTTTCCCAAAAGACACCTTAAGGATTTTCAGATCATGAGACTTAAGTTTTTGATGTGAACGCCACATCCTGCCTGGGTTAAACCAAGCGGTGCTCATCACCAGGACAATACCATCCCTTAGTAAAGCATGGTAGTGGCAGCATTGCAGGATTTTTGAGCACAAGAATTTGAAAACTACTCAGCTAGAGGGAAATATGAATGCAGCAATGTACAAGGACATTGTGGATGAAAACCTGCTCTTCACCTCCGACTGGGAAACCAGCCATCGCACAGGTCTCAGTGGGATTCTAATGGAAGGACTGAGCCATTCATATCTAAATATTCCCATTTATTCCCCCCATTTGATTTTGAACCTACTGTTTATATTAATCATCACACATCTTATTTATAGAGACAAAAATTAACAGAGCTATAAATCTCATGTCTAGTTAAATTTCTTTTCTTTAAGTATTCTCAGAACATTCTCAATATAAAGGCCCATAATATGCTCTGGTTAAAAAAAAATATTTCCAAGATTTCTAGGAGAAAAAAAAATATATTGCATTTTAATTAATTTACTCAGACAGAAAATCCTACATTTCTCGAATCTTTGCTTGATTTTCTTAAACCAGTCTAAAGTACAACCAACGTTTTATCATGAAACAAAAACTCTTATTTCTAATTCAAATTCAAGTCAAACAAGATCCATCATGCAGCCAAGATCACACTGGGTCTCTTTCAGTGAAGTGGGACAGCCAGAGGATGAGTGGTCAGTGATCTGTGCCCTCTAGAGGACTTCTTGGACAGTGGGCAGCTTTGTGGTTTTCACCGACGGCATGAACAATCATCCTTTTAATGCCATTTGAATCCACAGTCAGGTAGCTCAAACGGGCACTTTTTAAAATGCACCAGCAATTGTGAACACGTGGCAGATTGCATCTAGCACTGCTGGAGGTGCAAAGTTACGCAGAGTTGCTGTGAATAATGGCCGTGATGACGGACGACTCTGTGTTTGCAGCTGAAAAATTTACAGACAGCTGAAAAATTTGGTGATGCTGGATCTATTTTTGTTTTAAAAGAAAGTCTTAGAAAAACAAGCTGTCAGACTGATGGATGCTACTAAAAAAGAAAGCTAAGCAGAACCCTCTGCAATCAAAACTCCTGGTAAGGACATGCAAATATTTTATTTCACAAAAACTGTTTTAGCTGCTCTTCAATAGAAACAAAGAGAAGGCTGAAGATTGAGTCTTGATTAGTTTAGTGACAAAAATACAGATGGTTCTAGTGTGAAACAACCCCCAAATAAACCCCACAAACTAAATCTATTGCAAAAACAGAAGAGAGTCGGTGATACTGTGGGCCTGCATCTCTCCTACAGGAAACAGTAATGTTGCTTTTAATAGTTTTTGCAAATGACAGAAAGTACAGGAAAATATTTTAGTGATCCAAAACAATTTCTGTCATGTTTACCTGACTTCTATGACTTTAATTCTAAAGAAAGCTAATGGGATGGGCAAAAGAGGAGAAGATAAGAGAGAGGACCCAGGAAGTGGACAATAAAGAGCAGGCGCCTCCACTTTCCTGAAACTTTGACATGCATCCTTGTTCCAACACAACTTGACTGGGATTGGAGATCCCTGATCTTGAGAGATTGTGCAAAGATCCCAATCTTTGCAGGGGTAAATCTTTCAAGACAAAAATGTTCTTAAAAAAATAAAAATAAAAATACCACTGCTTAACATTTTCCCTTATTTAGAAAAAACAAAACAGATTAAAAGTTAGGCTTTCAATATATTTTAGAGGGAACTTATGCTACGACAATACTTCAACAATGAAACACAGGCGGTCCTTTCTTATTAACTGTATATAACCTTAACTTGAAAACTTTGCCATACTAGAGGAGGCATTTGAGGAAGGCAAAGATCTCTAAATATCAGCTGACTCAAATATTCCAGAAAACCATCCCAGAATAACAAGTAAATAAATATATCAGTTTCCTTCAGATGAAATATACATGTTCCGCAGCTAAAATTGTGTTGATGAATTGAAAAAAAAACATATTTAACCAGTCTTGTGGTCAATGTATAAGCCAACATTAGCACACCAATAACAAAAAAAAGATCCCAGTAATGATATCTAGGTAATTCTTCATCATAAAAGCTCTTTCTTCCTCCAAATATAATGGGAACAGTGAATGGAAACAAAATGCCTGCACACCCTTGGCTCTGTGTGACACGGTGGGACTTTTTTTAAACAATCAAACACAGCCTGACCCATAACTGTAAACAATGCTGCGGTCTAAAGTCCACCCAGTCCACCACACTGCAGGAGCAACCTAGAAAGTTCAACACCATTTAGTGCCTCACAAGAGGAAAAGATGAAAAACATCCATTGGAGACTAGAACATAATGTTAAGCCTCTAAAATCAAGATATAACATCAGAAACCAAAGTATTTGTCAGAATACAAGATTTCTTCCAAGGCTGCATGAACTCTGCTAAAGAGTCTAAGGATACGGGATTTTGAGATTACATAATCAAGAAAACAGTGATACCCACTAAATGTTGACAGGGAAATTTCCTACTAAGCACAGTGGAATTTGGCTGCTGACAACGGCCTTAAGATAGACATGAACAGATGCATTCCTCAGAGCTCCCAGGCCTAAACTGAACCTTGGCATGCTATCAAATAGGCAAACAAAGCTCCAAACACAAATCATGCAAACTTAAAAAAAAAAAAACTGACTTATTTCAATATTTATTACCACGGCCAAGGAGGAGGATTTTAGTCGAATTTGTGTGTTTATTTGTTTTTCCGTCCATCTGTGTACTGGATAACTTGAAAATCGAATACATTTTTTTGTGATAATCAACATCAAAATCTGGGTGTATGAATTTTTAAAATAATTCTTTAACATTATTTTGAAGAAAAAGCAGTTGCCCACTAAACCAGAGGGTGGCAGAAGGGACTATTGACAGCTTCAGCATCTGACTCAAAAGACTAAAGGCAAAAACGCAATCAAACATCAATCAAGAAAGCAGAGTGAATGAAGACTGTGAGAGCAAAACATTTGGTAATGATCCAGATCATGTGCCAGTTTTAGCTTTAGGTGTAAGGCAAAATATGGAGCAAAATTTCCTGCTTGGCAGAGGTCTTTTCTAAGGAATGCCTTTCCAGTGTTTTATGTTAACAGATTAATAATTATGGAAACAGTTATGTAGTTTTGAACTAAGCAATTTATGACATGTGAAGCTAACTTTTTTTTAGT